AGCACTCAATTATAACGAACCTAATCAATCATCCCCTATCCCTAGCGAGTGGATTTAGCTACTCATATGGAATTCAACATTAACATTCACACAAACCCAAGCCATCATCATCAACAAAGGAATTGAGAAAAATAACTTACGATTTATATAGAGAATCCAATGTCAAATCCAATGAACAATCCAGATCCAAAGCGAAGAAAAGGAGTTTTTCAATCTCCAAAACCAATCAAAAGTGCAAAAGAAAGAAAAGGAATGGTTTTTTCTCCAGAGAGAACGTAAAAACAAAGTTGGAATGGTGAATAATGAACCCTAGGATCAAAAACTGATGTAAAAATCCCGTCCTCGGAATTCGCGCCGGTTAAGTCGCGAGTCGCGACTTCCTCGCGAGTCGCGCGTCGTCTTCTTCTTTAGATTCAGGGGCTTGGTCGCGACCTGACTCGCGAGTCGCGACTCCATCTCGCGAGTCGTGACCTTGACTCGCGAGTCGCGACTCGTTCTTCGGAAATCTCCTTTAGCCTCAGTTTTCCCCGCGAGGCGCGACACATTCGCGAGTCGCGACACCACTCGCGAGTCGCGAGACGACTCGCGAGTGGCGACTCATTCTGCGCATTGTTTCTGTCCGTTTTTCGGTCCTCTTCGTCGTTCTCTTGGCTCGGCCAATGAGAATTCTCGATATCCTGGTCTCGGCTCAAGTAGTTCCATCCTCGACCGACACAATCTACCTCCTGAAAACACAAATACAGAAAAACACGAAGCAAAACACGGCAAAAAGATACAAAAATGTAAACTAAAGACAAAAACACAAAACGAACGAGATGGACCAAATAAACTACAAAAAACCTACAAATGGGGGAAAACAAAAAGAAAATAAACACAAAATAAAGACACAAAAATGGGACAAACAGTGACTGAAAGTGAAGTTAAGCAAGCCATGTGGTCCATCGAGCCCAACAAAGCATCAGACATTCATGGCTTTTCTCATTCTTTCTTCTAATATGCGTGGTCAATTATTAAGTCTGACATGTGCCTTGTTGTATCTAATATGTATGAAGCTGGTTGTATTCTTAAAGCCACTAATCATTCTGTTATTACAATGATCCCCAAGGTTAAAAAAAAAAAATACAGACTATAGCCCTATTAGTCTGTCTACTATTATTTATAGGATTATAGCTAAAGTTATAGCCAATAGACTCGAGGGAGTGCTTAAAGTTTGTATATCTCAATCCCAGTCTGCTTTTGTGCTTGATAGGCAAAATTTAGATAATTTTATAATAGCTAATGAGTGTATCCACTCTTTAAATAGTAGAAAAAAAAAAGGAAAACAAATGTTTTATGGCCTTAAAATTGATACGTAAAAGGCCAATGATAGAATTGACTGGAGCTTCTTGATAAGGGTTTGTGAGTGTATGGGGTTCTATGATAATTTTTTAAGTGGCTTTGAGTTTGCATCAACAATTCTTCCTTCTCTTTCAATGTGAGTGGTTATACTTTAGGAAATGTGGTTCCTTCTAGAGGGCTAAGACAAGGAGACCATTTGTCCCCTTATATATTTATCATTGTGTCTGATGCCGTGTCTAATTTAATCCATCAACCTTCTTTTAGGATGTCCTTTCATGGTCTGAAAATCAGCAAGCATGCTCCTTCTATTTCCCATTTGTTCTTTGATGATGATGCACTGTTGTTTTCCCAAGCTGATTATTTGCATGCTAATGTGCTTTTGAATATCTTGAGAAAATATTGTTTTGTTTCTGGGCAAGCTGTGAATCCTCATAAATTAAGCTTTTTTTTTCCTCAAAGAATACTCCTGAACAAACATAGGCTGAAATATGAAAACTCTTTGATGGAATAGCTTTAGCTAAATCATCTAAGTACCGGGGTTGCCTTTGCGGGTGGGGACGTATAAGTGACAAAACTTTTGCTTTTGTTAAAATTAATGTCGACGAATCATCTGACTAATTGGGATAATGCTTCTTGCTCAGTTAGGAGTTGGAAAAATAAGTTTTTGACTGAGATTTAGTTAAAACTGTTCTGTTTGCCTATTATGTGATGTTAGTGTTTAGGTTGCCTATTGGGTTGTGTAAGGAAATCTGTCAGACTGTGGCAAACTTTTAGTGGGGGTCAACTGAAGAAGGGACTAGGAAAGTGTATTGGGTTAAGTGAGGGGAGCTAGCTAAGTCTAAGGCTGAGGCGGGGCTAAGGTTCAGAGAGTTAGGTGCCTTCAATGAGGCCCTGGTCATTAAGCAGTTGTGGAAGTTTTCAACAAAGCTAGACTCTTTGATGAGTAGGGTCATTAGGGGTAGGTATATTTTTATAATGAGGCTGCTGGTAGTTACAAAAAAAGACAGTGATTCTTGTTTGTTGAAGGGTGGGTTAGATGCTAGAGATTCTCTGAGGTTAGGGGCTAGGTTTCACGTAGGGGATGGCAACTCTATTGATATTTGGAAGTCCCTTTGGATTCCAAACTCACCAATTTATTGTCTGTATGAAATTTCTTAGAAGATAAACAGGTTCTGCTAAAGGTGGCTGATCTCATGTAGCCTGTGGGCAAGCAATGGGATAGGGAGCTAATCTGTCAGACTTTCCACCCTGTTGATGCTGCAAACATTCTGCAAATCCATTTCAGTCAGTGTGGAGTCAAAGATAAACTTTTGTGGCATGGCACCAAATGTGGCAACTTCACAGTGAAGGAAGCATATCAAATAATCCATAAGAAGAAGCAAGTTGAATATTTGCAAGCTAAATCTAGTAATGGTAGAAGGGATCAAGAGGCAATGTGGGCTAAAACTTGGAAGCTACCTATCAAAGGTAAGGTGAAGAATTTTCTTTGGAGATGTTGGCATAATTATCTTGGTACAAAAGTCAATTTGGAGAGGAGGGGTTTGGTGTCTGATGTTATCTATTGTTGGTGTGGTGGTGCAGAAGAGGATTTAGACCATCTTTTGTTTAGTTGTGAAAGAGCTCAAAAGCGTTGGAAGTTAGCTGGTCTTTACTAGATATGATAATTTATAGTGTAGAAACTTTAATTTTCAAGTATGGTGGGAGGAAATCTTCAAGGTGAAAGGGAGAGTGAATGGAGGGATAGATTGTCCTTGTCTTCCTATATTATGTGGTGGTTATGAAATACAAGGAATAGTTGGATATTTAGACAAGAAAAAATTCCTGAAGTGAGGTTGGTTGAGGGGGCTAAGTTTGGAATGGCTAGAGTTTGAGAGTGTTTATGGGGCTGTTATTAGTTCTAGCCAGAGGGAGGAGAGGGTAGAAGCTGGTTTTGATTCCGGGGTGGTACATGGAGTAGGGGTTCAAAGTGTTGAACTCAGTGCTAATGTCTCTCTAGGGTTTGGTGAAAAAGTCAGGGGACTGGCTTTTATTGGTGATGCTGAGGTTGCAAGGTGGGATGCAGATGAGAGACTAGCTCAACGATCAGTGGAAATGGAGCTAGTGCAAATCAGAGATTGACTGATGGGGGGATCCAAATTGGGATGGACTCGAGTGCAGATTGCAGATAAGAACAAAGTGTTGGCTCAGCTGCTTAATGATCGTGCTGTGTTCTCTTCTATCTTTTCGGTTGTTCTTGAAGACATTTTCTTTTTGCTTAATTCTTTTAGTGTTTGGTCTTTTGTTCATTGGTATTAGGGTGTGATTGGTTGGTGTTTGGCCATGTTTGGTCTTTCAGGGTGCTTTTGTGTGAGTTTTCCCCTCGTCGAATCCTTTGCTAGTGGTTACTAGTTGTAAGAAGGAGATTGTAACCCGTTGGTTGGTCGTCTGTGTGCATTTGAGTTTTAGTTTTATGAAAATTATTGTTGGCAAAAAAAGAAAAAAAAAAAGAAAAGGATCCATTGTAAATTAATTAGGTTTGAGGTCAATCTTGTAAATCACGATTTTATATAACGGCCTAATTGTAAACTTTTTGTCCATTGCAAATGGAGCTGGAAGAGTCATTGTTGACAATTCTCCTAGCATAGTGCTAATAATGGACTAGATCAAAATGACTCAATTAAATTCTAGTGCTTCTTCTATTAGTGAAGTTTCTAGAAAAAAAATATATATCAAACCGGAATGCACCTTGGGTCGCTACGGAAACAGCCTCCTTGTATAATTACAAGGGTAAGGTCTGCGTACAACTGACCCCCCAGACCCCAACCTGTTGGGAATATAGTGGATATGTTGTTGTTGTTGTTGGTCTAATTGTAAATTTAGCACATTTATTTCTATGTTTTTATTTTCCAAGGCAAACAAACAAATATATAACTCAAATACAAAGTACTAGTACAACGAGTAACCAAATCATTACATACCCTAGATAACCGAGCAAGGACTACCTAAGAGCCATGAGAAAGGGTAAACCCTTCCCCTCAAAGACCAACAAGATCAAAACTACACAAATCACACTAAAAAAACAAAACAAGATACAATATTCCAAGTCACAAACAGTGCTAAAATTTCCTCCACAAGAGGCATACAAGAAGTATTAGAGGCTACAGATTTGTTCAATATTTTTATGTCTCTGCATTGTTCTGGAAACAAGTGTCAGATTTCCATTTAAGTTCTTTGAACTTCCTCAGACTCCATCTTGTTGCCTCAGCTCTACTGCGTGGTCCTTCTATATGCCCTTCCTAGTGAATCTTGTTGTATGAGTCATCTGTAGCAATACAATCCACCTCCATCATCAGATGAATGAGCACATTTATTTCTATGTTTGATCTATTGTAAATTAATTAGGTTTGAGGTTCATCTTGTAAATTACGATGTCATATTTTAAATTTTGTAGAATTAGCAGCCACATGAATAAAAACAAGGAACGAAAGAAGCAAAAAATGGATCCCAAAATAACACTAATCATTAATCGGGAAATTGTTGTTCGAACAATTATTTACAGCAGCGATTTTCCACTTATTTTTCATAAATTTTTCCAGGTTAATTGGACCAGATATCGCCCAATTTCTCACTTCTAAAATCAATTCCTTTCTGGCCGAGTCCATCTCACCCTACCAACTCGTCAATCATTCATTCTCCACTATAACGGCGTCACCGTCCCACCAGGTATTGCCGTCTGACTCTTTCACACTCTCTAACGGCCGCCTAACATTTCTCACGTCGCCAACAGCTACCACCCCGCCAACGTCATTCCTGACGTAAACCTTCCCATCTCCACCCGTGGAGACTCCGCCCACTTTCTCCGCCTCCGCCGGCAATCCCCACTCGGCGTACAGAGCCGGGAAACGGCGCTGCATCCTCCCGTCGTAGCCGCCCAAAATGACGCCGCCCCCTTTCCGATTTCCCTCCGCCGTCAGGACCGCCGGCGCACCCCACGCACCGCCGGCAAAATCGATTTCCCTCCCGTCCCGGTCGGAGTCCCAAGTAGAGACCACGCTCTGCTCGCCGGAGCTGAAAAGATCCTCGTCAAAATCCAGATTTAAACCCAAGCTATCCCAGAGCCTGACGACACTCTTGCCGGAAGCGAACTCCGACCAGGCCCCGCGGCCGCATCGCCGCTTACGATTCCTTAGATTGCCGTTTGGCCACTGTCCCCTGAAAACGCCCTTCACGCTGAAATTTTCGTCAACGGGGCGTTGACTTCTGAACGACGTCGTCGGGTGGTCCTCTGCTTTATCGTCGGCGCCGTCGTCATCCGAAGAAGCTAACGAGGTCTCATCTTCCTCGCTAAACTCGAAAACCTCTTCACTTTGATGAGAGGAAGGCTTGATTGTGTGAAATCGAACAAGAATGAGCTTAATTCTTCTGAATATGCTGCTGAAAGTGGCGAAAATTGCGAAAAAGAGAGCGCCCCATTTCCAGAAGCTGTAGGCTTGGGGAACTTTGTCTAATCGAGAGATTAGGGACGGGTTTTGGAGGCATTTCATTCCCGCCTCAAAATCGGTAATCATGTTTATCTCTGGAATTGCCATTAAAGTCAATTTTGTTGAGTACAAGCAGGAAGCAGCTATACTTGATTTTCTTTTCTTTTTTTTCTTTTTATATTATTTGGGAGGCTTTGGCTTTCTTTCTTGGGTTGTGTACAGCTAGCAACAGATGTTATGAGTTTGAAAATAATGCAGATGAAGTGTATAATAAGTTGGAGAGAAAATTATTGGGAGGAGGAGAAGATTTTAGAGTTGAGATAAGGAGTTACTTATAATAATCAGTGGTGGTGGAGAAAGCAAAACGTGATTGGATTATAGAAAAGATAAAGGGATTGTTTGCAAACTGTTGGCAGTTAGCGGATTATATCAGCTGTTTTGACCGATAGATTGCATTAGCTGTTTTGACCGGTGAATTGTATTAACAATTTGTAAAATTGTGTTTGGTAAATTCAGTTGTTTACTAATTAAACATTTATATTTACGTAAAAACATTAATATACTTTAATATTTTTCTTAATATTGTAATTATAACTAGTATTAGGTCATATGCATATGCACAAATACAAAATAAAGTTAGATGTCATATGTGTGTATGTAATATTTAAAATCATAAAGTAGATAATGAGCATATCACATTTTATAAATTTTATCATTAATAAAAATGAATGGTACAAATATAAACTGTTTAATTTTCATGTTAATCTTTATATTAAATGCATTAACATTAATAATTTTTTGATATTCGGAATTTGAACATATAAAATAAAATAACATAAAGATAAATGGTAATTTGTACAATAAGTTAGTTTAGATTTCTTTTCTATAAGTAAGCAAGTTAGTCTATTGACTTATGTAGTTAAACAAACGACTCGACCATAAATTATGCACATTTATTAGTGTTTCTTAATGATGAAATAATAATATAGCTTATTAGTAGACTAAAGGCATATTACTATATTAGTGCACCAAATTATACGGATAAGCAATGAAAAAAATAATTGAAATGATGGACTCAAATCAGCTAAATCCAATACGCTCCAAATTCTAGCGTTTGCAATTTTAGCGGATAAGGAGCTCAAAAGCTGATTTACCAAACATAAATAAAAGGGCTATTTACATACATCCTATCCTATGTGTTTTGAAAATAATTGTGACTTTACGATTGAAACAAAAATAATTGCATCTATGCTAATTTTCTGTGAAATAATTATTGAGTTGCTTAATATCAGCTTCCAAACAATAAAACGCACGCCCTTAAATTTCGCAGTTGATGTGTATTGAATAAAGAAAAGAAATATATTTGATATATGTGATAAAATATAGATATCCTAAACAATAGCTTAACCGTTTGATTGAAAAATAGAAAGACAATAAATTTGAAATCTAGCTTCATCATCTCCTAAAAAAACAAACAAACGATGAAGAGGATTCTCTTCCATGATCAAGAGCAGATTTTAAGAAGAATAAAATTAGAAAAAACGTATATTTGTTTTCTTTGAATATTGTTTCGTGTTTTACATATTACTAGTATATACCCCGTGCGATGCACGAGACAGAGATATTAAATGAGTTATTTTCACCCCCTTGTTTGTTTAAGTCTAAAAAATAATAGGGTTATTATCTATTTTCTACCTCTTTTAATCAACGTTAAGTCTAAAAAGCAATAGGGTTATTATAAGTTTTTTTTCCACGTCTTTTAACCAGTGTTATTTTTTTAGCCAGAATATTAGATATGAGCATGTTAGGGCTAGCTTGTAAATAATTAATATATTATCTCACTAAAACATTTATACTAATAAAAATTTAATTTTAGCATATAAATTTATCCCTTGACATTAGAGAAAGTAGCAGTTTTACTTATTGTTGTTCACTATATAATATTTAATTATTATTCTATTATATAATAAAAAGGAATACTATTAAATAGTGTAGTAGAACTGTTATAAAATTATATGAATTTTTTTTTTTTACAATATGAATTTAATATCTTTTTATGATTTGATAATATAACTATAATATATTCTTAATGATTTAATAATATGAGATACGGATTTACATAATACTATGGATTTATTATTTAATGTTAAGATATTGAATTAGGTAATATATGATTCACTAATTTGTAATCTGTCTCTTTTTATATTGAAAATAATCATATGATTAAGTAGATATAACAATTATCTATAAATTCCTTCATTTAAGGAATAATTTTTAAATTGGTCCAAGTGTTGAATGCAGTCTGGTTTTCTTGTAACTAAAATGGGAAGAGATTTTGAATTTCAAATTTTCAATTTAAAACCACACGTAAATTTAGATGCATATTTTATTAAAAATAAAATGAGAAAAGATTTTGAATTTCATATTCACTTCAATATTCTGTCGAAATTTTCAAAAATGAATTCAACAAAACTCATAATTTTAGAGGCATTCAATGGTACCCTATTTTATGATTTAAAATATCTAAAACTTTATAAATATAGTGTGCAATTAATTATGAGTTGACTTTTCTTCTTACTAATTATAGTAAATGTGATAGCTTTTTATATAAGTATAGATTTTATATTGTAATAAAATCAGAAAAAAAAGGTATATTTGTTTTATTTGGATTTTGAGCAAATTTTTAGAAAAATAAAATCATAAAAAAAGGTATATACTATTTTATATTGTAAATTTATATCCAGTTCATTTTCAGTTTATCATACTTTTATAAACCAATACTCTTATACATACAAAAATCCATTCACAAAAAGTACTGACACAACTAACATATAAAACACGACAGAAACTATAAAAATAAACTAAACAAAAACCATTAATATACTTAAACCATGAGAAAATCATTGTTCTCAATATTTTCGCCTCAACACGGTTATCTTTGAACTCTACAACCAACGTCATCTTTTCCACCAACATCATCTTTATATTCAATATATTTTAGTTATATGTTTCGCATACAAAATCTGCAACATGACGACATGTTTGCGTTTTAGGTATACTAAATATTTTACGTATATTTCAGTATATTTTAGGTATATGTTTCGTATATATATTTTAGGTATACTGAATAATATTTAAGGTATATTCTGTATATGTTTCGTATACCGAGAATATTTTCAGTATATGTTTCTCACCATTTTGTGCATAAGATAGAGCTGAAAGAACCATGACAAAAAACCAAACATCCATCCACAAAAAAGATTCAAAAATTAAAACATAAATACACAATAGACTACAACTAAAAAAACAAAAAATGTTAATATGAATATTCAAAACAACATAAACAATAAAAACAAAAAAAAATCTAATTTTTCGTCTCCAAGTCAAGCGAACCACTGCCGATCAAAAGCGGGGATGCCCTTCGTCTCGTCACGACGCCTTGGACAAACGTAAGTGCTCGAACCTCCGCCGCCGGTGCCTGACAAATCAAGCTCCTTTAATCAATCTAACGCCTATTTAGCATGCAAAAGAATTCCACAGTTGAGATGACGGACTCCAGGAGTTGACGCCTGAAAAAGACGGCCATTGGCCCTTTTAAAGCCATGGAGATGACGGATCTGCGAGCAAGGGGAGAGAGGGAGCACCACGTTCCGAGCAGGGAAGAGAGGGACCACCATCCAAAGCCATGGAGATGACGGATCTTTCTTTTTGGAGGTCTCTGGGAACCTGTGTTTGAAATTCGCCATGGTCGTGTGAGAGATGAGCAATAATAATGCGTTATTTGGGGAGTTGGTTTTGATTTTATTTGGTAACTGCAACGAATAAATCTATCTTAATTGAAGATAATATATTTTTATTCCCTAAACTGATGTCCCGTGTATATGCAAATAAAATCCCATGATTTTGTCATTTTGCTAAAGTTTATCTTTAAACTGTACAAGTGTAAATAAATTGTTGTTCACTCGTCCCTCGAGTAATTTTCTCTTGACATACGTCATATTTACGTGCATTTTGTAGTGATTTCCGTGTCCGTTTTGTCGTAGTTTGATATTTAATTTATTATTATTTAATTAATTAATTATTTATATTAAGCTATGATGAGGTGTTTTATTTTGAGTTTTAACAGGCAATGGGGTTGAAATAATTTTTGGAATCGAAAACGATGTGAAACGGACATAAAAGGAGTGCAAACCGTGAATTGGAACTGTTTCAAGTACAAGACTTGCTGGTGACAGCCCCATATCTATTGTTGGCCCAACTTTTATATCATAAAATCAGCCAAGCCCCACAACATTAGTAAAATTCAGCCCAACTCATCAATTTAAGTAATGGCAAAGTGGTAATTTCAGAAGTTTGGCTTCTTCTTCCTCAAGAGGAGATACACGCACGTCCGCCATTGTTGAGCTGCTCTTGCTCGACCAAGCTCGTCACCCCGCCACCTCGCCGCTGCACAGACGCCGGAGCTCGCTGAACGCTTCTGCCATCATGTCGCCGGAGAAGAAGCTTCAAGTTGTTGTCCGCGCTGAAGGAATCGCTGGCCGCCGGAATCTGGCCGGAGCTCGCATGGCCGACCACCTGGACGTATCCTGACCGCTGTACGACCTCTGGGAGTTTCCTGAGAACCCGTAGAACACGTCAGGATCTGAGAACAGCCGCGAAAATGGAGTTTAACCTTCTCAGGTTCACACGGGTCGTGTGAGCCCGAGACACGACTCGTGTCGTTCTGATGGGTTGTATACCGAACTATCGACTTTGTCACACGACTCGTGTGGCTTATGACACTAGTCGTGTGACCCTGGGCGCGACAAAATCCGGATTTACGCGTTTTTTCTATTTTTTCGGTATTTTCGACCTATTTCGACTAGGACTCGATCCCAACTCTTTATATAACACTTGGACACGTTTTTTCGGGAGTCTGGGACATATTTTTACATTTTGGACACCATTGGAGGCCTAGAGAAAGCACGAAACACACGAGGAATTCGAGGAAGTCAAGATTGAAGATTCGGGAACTAACGACGACAATAGTTCTTCTTTCTTTTCTCTTTTTCTTCTTCATTGAACTCATGAATATATTTGTTTTAGGTTTTGAGAATATGTTTAGTAGC